CGTCCTGGCCTCTGGCTTTCCGCTGGGACTCGCACGGCGGTGCCGGGAGCGCGCCGGCCTGCCGTGAGGCGGCGGGGCGCTTCCTCGGAAGGCGGAGGAATTGGCCCTCTGCCGCCTCCCCCGCTGGCGTGACGGCGCCCCGCTTCGCGCCGCTCCTGGCCGCGGTGGTGGGGCTGCGGCGGCGGGGCTGGCGGGCTGCCGCTGCCCGTCGCGCAGGGGGGCAGCTCTCTGCCCCTGCTCAGGGCTTTCCCTCTCCACCACCTCTCCCTCCCCCCTGCCGAGGACGCCGCGGGTTCCCGCTGGTCTCCTCTGCCGAAGCCCCTGGGATTCAGGCCCGCTTCTTGTCCTTCCCTTTCCCCCAGCCAGCGGGAGTACCGCTGACCTGCCTCTGGGGAGGGCGGCAGGGCTTCGGGGGGGGGAGGAAGGAAGAAGGAACGAGGCCCCCTGAGACACGACAGCGTGGAGTTCACCTGTGGGGTAGTGTCGCTTCAGCTGTGCACGCTCGTGTGTTACAGCAGGACTGATGCTGTCATACCGTATGCGGGTGCGGCCACTTGCTCTTGGAGAGTCTTGTCCCGTTTCTACGCTCTGCGAGAAACCTGAAAGTGTCTTAAGATGTCGTTTGTACCCACCAGGAGATTTCCTTGGGCAGGAGCAGATCTAAAGGGTTTTTTTCACTGGGCAGGACTCTGATTTCTTAACTTTTTTTCACTGACGTCGTTGTTGATAGTGATAGAGTGATTGTGCATCCTTCAGGTTTTGCAGCTACTTGAAAAAAATGCTGTGACTTTTTCCATTGTTGAAGACTTCAAGCGCAGTTAGGAAAAAAAAAGTAAAAATCACCTGGCTCATGTTTTCGAGATTTAGTTTCATCACTTTGTCTAGAAATATTGTATTGTTTAAGCAGAACTTTTCAGGTCTTTTTTTTTTCTTTTGCTATCCAGCTACACACTTGCATTATAAAAATCTAAAAATCCTTTTCACACACAGCTTTCCCATAGTTTGGCTGTTACAGTGTATAAAGCATGTATCAATTTATTGAATGTTTTTAATGCTGGAAAACTGCTTTAAATGGATTTGAATGGAAGGGTGTACAGCATCTGTTCTGCAATTGTCAAATCATCTAGAGAATAACTATCACAAAGCTAAATTATCAGTTTGTGAACAACACATCCCTTTAGGAATGGTGTTGTAGTGGTAAAGACTACTTTCTGTATCTTGCTTTCACATTGTTTTGTTAATGCACGTCATTAGAAGGATCCAAGTTATTTATTTCAGCATCATAATGTTGTGCCCGTTTTCTGTTTCTTCACTTGGCTTGCTTTATATCACTCTGAATGGGATTTTTATTTTTTTTAATACATGAAAGGGATATTTCTTCTGTCTTTAAGCTGAAATTAAATAAGATATTTATGGTTCATAAATCTGTCAGTATTGTTTGTTTGCTTCCACTTTAACTCCGTGTGGAAAGGTTTATAATTTTAGTTCATTAACTAGGCCTGAAATTTGGAGGTCTGAGTGATGTGAAAACACAGTGATGAAAGAGCTGTATACTAGAAGTTCAACATGAATTTTTAATAGAAATTTCATAGGCACAGAAAAGAATTACAAATCTCTCTTTAATTAGGCATGGAATATATGCAGGTTTGTGGGGTTTTTTTTAGAAGTTTACTGATTGTTGTATACTTTGGTGACGTTAGCCATGCTAATAATACCTTTGATCTATGGCAACTTTCATCCCAAAATATGCTTGCATCAATGCTACTTGAAAATGAAGGGATTCCTTTAGTAAAGACACTAGTTCAGCCCAGTATATATGTCTAGCTATCCATTTGAAGGCAATAGGGATACTGTGGCTAGATTCGATCTTTTGCTTTCTGAACTATTTAAAGCTGCCTTTGCATATGGAAGAAGGTGATGTCTAAATTATGCACTGGCATAATAGTCTTGTTGTTATGCCTATTACATTATAATAGCACAAAAAATTACTAAAACGTTACTGAGCTTTCGAAGTGATAATTTGCCCAAGACCATGATTAATCCAGCGTTAACTCCACAATGCCACTCGCCTCCCTAGCCATTTAATTTCTGCCACCTTTCTTGTGCTGACAGGATTGGCTATGCAGTAAGCCAGATCAGGGAAATGGATAATATTTGGTTGATGCGACACTCAAGAAAAGTAACTAAGAATAATTTTAGAATCTATCTGTTCCATCATGGTCATCCTTTTTTGTTTTTCTTATGAATGTCTTCTCAAGTAGAGTAGAACAGACAATATTTAACAATCAGTATCAGAATGGTCTTGTGCTGGATGGCCTACAGAAGAGAGATTAGACATAATTGGATGAACGAAATAAAGTGGGGTGGCTGAAGAAGAGTCTTAAAAGATCTCAGCCTGTGATTTTAGGTGACAATAGACCAAAGAACTGGTAATGGCAATGGCTGCTGATTCTTCCATTCAAGCTCTGGTTTTGTACCTCTTGAGAGTGCAAAGTCTGGGTGCAATATTCAGGGATTTTTAGCAATCGGCATCCCTCGATCTGTTGCATGTATGTCAGCCAGAATCTTTACAACTGTTGAGTGTGTTTGCTGTGCATCACATTCCCCCCAAGAGGGAAGGGATGAGGGGAAACAAATAAAGGAGACGCCAATATTTAATAAGTAACTGTTCTGAGAATCTCTTAATGGTAAATTCCATACTAAATAAAGCCCTGAAGGTGCAGGAGTTTATATTAAAAACTTCTAGGGAAGAACTCTGAAAGCTAACAAACTTACCTTTAATTTTATTGAAGAACTGAATTTGAGTCGTTAGGGGAAGATATTGTTGAAAGTACATATGAGAAGGCTGGTGAGTGGAAAAGATAAGGGTGTGTCTAAAGTAAATAGCTGACCAGGAAAATTAAGGCTGAAAAACTTTTTTGCTTTTTGTAAGGTCAGAGTGATATATATGTTTCATTATAGGCTTTCCCCATCAGGCCAAGATCTTTAAAATTTCTCTTTGGTGCTGAAATATCATATAACAGAACCTTCAAATACTGTTCCCTGTTGTTTTGGGTTGGGTCAGACTACTTCTCATTCTGGTACGGTGACCTTGGTTATACTAAATCCAGCTCAATTCAAGCATTTTTTCATTGTTGCGAAGCAATCTCCTATGGCAAGTGGAAGTTACTTCACTTCCTAAAACTTTCTTTAGTTCTAGGTAGTTGAGTAGGCAGCTGTTTTGTTCTTTTTAGTTGTTCTTTGCTTCTGCATTGACTGTTCTTTTTTAATTGGGAGAAATTAGACACAAAATTTGTAAAATAGTCATGCATCATGCAAGCCTGATACTGTGTTCCTGCTTTTAAAAAGGAAGTTGGTTAAAATAACATGCTGTGATAAACAGTAAGCAATTTCTGTATTCATTAGTTATAATCATCAGAAACTGGAGGAACTAAGCAAACAAAGACCTTTATTTTGTCCAGACTTCAATTTGAGAAAAGCTGGTTTAAAAAGATTACTTTAAGTTGTTTGTAAAAAAACAAGTTGGCCACTTCTTGGACCAAGAGAGTAGTAGCACTGCTAAAAAAAATAAAATTAATAGGGGATTTAAGAACAAAAAGGCAATAAAATGGATCCTAATAGCATGTCCTATAATAGCAAAATAAGGCTTATTGCAGCAAAATTGTGTTTAAGTTCCTAGGAACAGAAGATCTGTGTTTGGGAGACTTTTTTTTTTTCTTTTTTCTTTTCTTTAATTGGATGAAGAATTCTTGAGCCATTGAGGCTCATTTAATAAACTCTGGAATGCTAGAAGAATGAAGGGACAGGCACAACTAATGATGTGTTTTATTTAGAAAACCTAAACAGGATGACTGGAGTAACTGTGACAGTTAGCCTGAGATTGATAATTAAAAGAATTCTAGGCTGAAAGGCCTGAAAAATGCATTATACAAAGAAAGGTGCCATAGTTAACATTGGCCAAGACTTTTAATGACAAGGGAGTCCAAAATATACGTAAGTCAGAATTTCCCCATAAGGAGGCCTTTTTCTAAAAAAGCAAACTCATTAGTAAATCTGAGCATGAGGTTTTAAAGCATCTAATGACTGGTTAGTTGGGTCTAGCAGACTTTTTCTATTGCATGTGGTCAGTTTCTTTCTAAATAATCAGAATACTTAGTTAAGATTTGCAGGTGGCTTGCATAGAGGAATAGATGTTGAAGAAAATGATCAGGAATATTTACTAAATGTGACTTACGTGAACTTAATGTGAATTTTTAAATTGCCAAATGTTTGCCCTTTGTCCTGAAAGTGAATGTCTGTAATGTGGAAAGTGGAATCTAAAAGGAACCTAAGGCGTCTTGTTGGTAACCAACTGACCATGGACTTCCGTTCTACTAAAATAAGGAAAAGCTTAATCCATAGATGTAGAGTAGATATCAAATGGAACTAGAGAAATGTTGCGCATTTCCGTATGGCATTAGGTATGATGTCCTTTGCTGTTGTTAACACCTCAAAGTGTGATGACAGATTTCAAGTGGTCTTGAAAACCTGCTTTGAGGTTTGTTTGTTATTTTTTCAAAGCTACCTTGCATTTGGGGGAAAAAAAAAAAAGGCTAATTTTTCTTATCTGGGATGCTGTCAAGTGATTAGATACAATCTGAAAATACATAATATCTAGGTAAAATTATTTTTCTGGCTCCTGAATGTAGGAAACAAACCTGACAGTGTAAACGGTCAGGTTGGAATTAGTATATATTTTAACACTAAAAGTAATTTTTTCCAACAATTTATGGGATGGTATATTGGGTACTTTGATCCTTCCAGTCTTTACATAAAGTTTATAGATACTGAATAGCTGTCTATTTCAGTCAGAAGTCTAGATGTGACTTAGGACTCTCAAGAAGAGGTTCTGTGATGTGTGTTATGTACCATTTCATGTTATTGATTGAAGATCATTCCAAATTCTCCTCAGCCAGACTTGCGTAACTCTGCTCCACAGCTAGAGAAACGAGGGATTGTGCTGCTGGATCAGATGAAGTAGGAGTTCATCTTAGTTGTGATCTTGAAAGTGACTGAAACTTTGAAAGTGTCAGTCTTCCTGGCAGTTTCATGTGTGTATCTGAATGGTAAGGAACTGACAACAGAAAGCTAAAAGGCTTGTTTGGGATCATTAACCTGGGACAGTCTTCTCACAAGAATATTTTGTTTGCAGTTTAACATATGTACCTTGCTTCTCCGTCTGTTTCACATAATACACTGGCCTTCCTGTGCATGGATACTCTGTTTAGATTAATAATTCTCTGTAGAACTCTATTAGCTTAGTTCTGCCTTGCCAAGAGGAGCTCTTAGAAAGGGAGAAGGTAAAAAGTGAGTAAGAGCAACTAATTGTAAGTTACTACGTAGTACTGTGTACTACTACTGTAGTTCGTGGAGATTAATTCCAGTGGTGACTTTCTCTACGCCTTTAGTTTTGTGGTGTTAAAGGTAAATGAACCCGTTTTGATATGGACTGAAAACAATACTAGTTTAGTATGAAGTGATGCCACGTAACTTTAACAAATGGTACATGTTTGCAAATGTTTTGCAAAAGTAAAGTTTTCTCATAAATTGTGTGCTAACTGTAAGGATTAGAACATCTTGGTATGCATATGTTCTTTGATTTACTTTTTAGAAGGACAAGTATACTGACACCTTTCTTTTTAGAGGGGACCCTCGTTTTACACAAAAAAGGACAAAGTAGCTCTTCTCCAGAAGAGACATAGCTGACTTCCTGCCACACATCAAACAGAAATATAATCTGATTGCATATAAACAGTTTAAGAAAATATTACAGCATCTTTTTCATGATACTTCCCTTCCCCCACACTAGTGACCTTTAAAAGTTTTTGTTAGAAAGTGGTTTTGAGGTGTTTTTTCATTTCTTAAGAGACATTGAATGTTATAAGAAAAATTAATATTTAACTTCAAGTAATTCTTCTCCTTTCTGCCCCAAATACATACACCCTTATCGCGTGAAAGTATGTAGGCAATAGCTCTGGAATAAGTTGTTGCTGTGTGGTGGGAGACTGTTCTCATTTATTAAAGCAGTTTGTATGTTCAGGATTGTCCTTGCTTCTTATAGTTCAGCTGTACTCATTTTTCAAAGCAATAACCTAATTGCTTGTACTAATTAAAGCCTGTTAGCAAAGCAGTACAGTATTTAGGTCAGCTTTTCTTCACTGTCCTTTTGTGCTTGTGCCTCCTGTTCCTGGCATTTCCCAATTGCTGCAGGTCCTCTTTTCAGACTTGCAGTGTGTCAGCCTTCGTTGTGATGCTTGATGTTCTACTGCTGTCCTGTTCTGCTTTAAACTGCCTGACCCATTTTCTATATTGTCATCCTGTACCACTAGTAAAGACAAAAGGCTGGCAAAATTCAAATAGCGTCTGTCAGAGATGTACATAACTAGACTGGTTTTAACTGGCTGAGTGTAGAGTGGGCAGTCTGAATTAATCCTTTGGTTGGAGTGATCTGTAGTTTGGTGTCTAGTTTGCAAGCCTGGTGAAGGTGCAAAGAGCATTACCATCGAGCAGAAGAGAAGGTTAGCCCCAAGAAACTTTATTCACGTTCTCAAATCACTTGCTGCTATTTCCAGATGTATATGAATGTTTGACGTGGAGCTCTGGATTGGAGTGGATTCTCTGTTGTAGGAGAGGGGAAGGATAAACTATGGGGTATGTAAAATGAACTGTGTATTGCTCTCCTGCAGCTAATCTTTTTTCAGTGTTAGAATTTCTAAGTTGGTACTTCCAAGATGCAGTGTTCTTGTGCAAATACAGTTTTGTAGACAAAACATTCTTAATGGGGTAAGTGATGCATCTCTTGAGTCATACAACTTGTGCCTTTGATTCATATACACTATTTCCCAGGTAGCATGGAATTTGCTTGTGTAGCAGAACAACTGTTTATTTATTTAAAATATATTCCACTCCACTCTTGAGGTGAGTCTTATCCTCAGCTTGGCCATCGCTTTTACAGTTGTGCCTTCTCTTCCATCTCCCATGGCTGACTGTCTCACTCTTCATAGAAAAATTCCTCCTGGGATTTCATTCTAACATGTGAAATGGAACTTGTCTGATACCAAGTGACCTGTTAGTTGTTTGTGAGGATATTTTTCATCTTCCTGGAGGGGAAGATCTTGAAACTTTGGAAGGAGATTGAAGCTCAGATTAGTACTTCTGCAAGGAGGAGGAGAATATTTTTAAAGAAAACAAACTAGAAGTACAAAGGTCTCTTCCTCACATTGCTTTCATTATCAGTATTTGTCTTTTCTGACAAGGTTAGACTGTTCTTTGGGAACAGTTTTCTTGAGTTTGAAAATCAGCATGCTGTCTGAGTAACAGCTGTAGAAGAAATTTATTTAAACAAATGTTTTCATGTTGTCTTTTTTCCTATTAGGAAGTTCTTTCTGGAGTCGTGGTCATAACAAGTAAGGACACAGTCCAGCACCAGGGTATTTCGTTAACAATGGAAGGGTCAGTAAATCTGCAGCTTAGTGCCAAAAGTGTGGGTGTGTTCGAAGCTTTCTATAACTCTGTCAAGGTAAGACCTGCGCACACGAATATTTTTAGCACAAAACCTCTGTCTCTTTTCTCAACTCTTTCCTTAATGGCTTTCAGGTAGTTGTAGCACTTCATGGTATGTAAATGATAGAAAGCAGAGAAATGCTCAGCATTATCTAGTGATTTATGATGACATTTTGGGGGAGGATCTTGCGCTGATTGGAGAGTTTTCTTTAGGGCTGAAATACAGTAACATAAATAGTATGATTATTGGACAATGCATTGAAGGACCATGATTTAAAGAAAAATAATAAGGTGGGGTTTTGGGTTTTTTTTTGTAAGTGACTGGGTTTAATTGGACTTTTGTGCCAGATCAGTTACTATCACAATAGTTTCTGCGAAGACCATTGAGGTTGTGTGTTGCTAGGCATGGTACAGGACCTGCACAGATTTTCTGTGGAGTTTGAGGCTGTACAGAGACTGTTTGACTGCGGAGCTCCTGGAAGGCCTGTGTACTGCTCTCCAGGTTTGGAAGTGTGCGGTTTGGAATCTAGCAGGGCAAGTTATCTCAGGCTCCATACAAATGTGGCTGTACTGATTGAAGCAAGGCTGGCTCTATCTAGAGGCAGTATAGCTACATTTGCAAAACAGTTTGCTTAAGTTAGGATAGCCTCGGTGCAGGGCCTTTTAAGGTCTTCAATTATATCATAGTTAATTTGTTTACAGTATGAATAATCTGCCCATGAATGATTGAAAAACAGAAAAAAACAAGTAGAAGCAATAGATTTTCTTATTCCTGTCTAGTAGAGGGAAAATGATAGTAAAACTCCAGAGAGAAAAGAAGTGTAATCTTCAGGCAGGCTTCCCCAGTCGAATCATAGTTAACCATTGTTCCAGTGAGAGACTAGCCCTAAATATAGATCTTTAGGGTGGGAAAGGGCTAGGAGGAAGGTAGGAGAGAATGGCTAACTGCTCAACTAGGACACACACTTGTTGATTCCTGCTGCTACTTTTAAGGGTTATAGTTTAGAAAATGGAACTCTGCTTTCCAAAGCACTTGAGGCTTTGCTGTTTAGCTTTCTAAATATGTTTGGTCATTAGTATGATACAACTATAAAATAGATCACAAATTGTTTTCTTGAGGAAAGCATTCTTAGTATTTCTCTTCATTGTAAGACTGGAGAGCTGTGTGTCATGAAGAAATAGCTGAGTTTCTGGAAATTCAGGAAGTCTGTTAGAGTTTAGTGGATGGTGTTGGTTCTTGAAATGATGGGGCTGTCACTCTGCTTCAACCTAAACCTCTTAATATTTATCTTTGCAGCCTATTCAAATTATTAACAGCACTATTGAAATGGTAAAACCAGGGAAACTTCCCAGCGGCAAGACAGAAATTCCATTTGAATTTCCATTGCATATGAAGGGGAACAAAGTTCTGTATGAGACATATCATGGTGTCTTTGTTAACATTCAGGTAAGGCAGTCATATCTGTAAAGAAAATCTGAAATTTTGTTATCTGTTATTCTAAAGCATCTCTTATTCCATGGAAGCAGAGGATAAAGTTTTATGATAAAGTTTTCTTTTCATAGTGCAACATGTTTTCTTTTCTCAACTTGAAGAATGAGCAGAAAGTTAGAGATCCTTTGAAGTAAGTAGCTTTTAAGCTTCCCTATATTAATATAGCATTCTTCTGGTTTGTACTGTATTTTCTAGATATGACTTAAGTTTAAAAATCATGGTACATGTTAACCTTTTCAGTACTAGTTCGTAGGTAGTTTCTAGTTGCCTTTTTCAGTTCCAGTTTCTAGGAGTCAACACTTTCCACAGGTGATAACACTTCTTAAATGTGGCGAAGGAACCATCCTGAGATCTCGGAATCCCATCAATATAATGTTGCTTTTAAAAAATTGTTGTGATGTCTGTTCCCTTTTCTTTTCCAGCAAGTTTGATTTTTTTCATTGGAAATAGTTGATGGTAATGAAACTGATCAGATGCAACATGGGATGTACAAGAGATAATTAAAAGCATACTGGAAAGAGGGGCTTTGGGTTGAGAAAGGATAAAAAGTATTTGCCGCACTTGTTAAATCTTGCACAGTTATCTTACAGGGTGATGTTTTCATCTAGTTGCACTTACTGTTTTGTAGATAATCTATATAGTAGTACACGCCCAGATACAAGTGTGTGTACTGTTAACCTAGTACCAGTGAGACTTTGTTAGCATAGTAGACAACTAATTACTGCTAATAATACTTAAATATTTAAAAATTAAGTGTACTGACTTACCAGATCCATTTGAAGACACGGGGATAAGTCCTTGTGTGAACAAAGCTATGTAGTGTTCAGAGCCTGTTTTCCTGCACTGATTTGTGAGAAGTGTCCTCTTAACGAGAGGAGGTCTTTCTATCGCTGTTTCAGGCCTTCCATATGGAGTATGGAAGTAAATCTTTAAAGAATGATGGCATAAACAGAACAGTAACAAGATGTCTTGCCTGAAATACCTTGTCAGTTCTACTGTAACATATATCTGATCCTTCCTTATGTTGTAGACAACTACATCCATTCCCTTCATGAAAAAAGACTGCACCACAGTGTCCTTTCATTCAAAAGAAATATGGCTGAGTAATTTCATAATGGAGACTCAAGCCAAAGTGTTGAGAGCTTATAGCATCTTCAAAAATATGAATTGTTTGCTTTCCTGTGGAGATGAGTGGTAACGTTTCCTGCCCAAATCTGTATGTACTACGTGCTTGTAACAATATTGTGGAAACACAATTTTGAAATTTGACCTTTTTCGGTTAAAAATTGTTTTAGCATAGGTGGGTTCATTTGTTTGGGGTTTTGGGTTTTTTTGAAGGAAAGTCTTCTTCAGCCATCTCTTGAATATATTGTGTTAGACAATGCTTTTTCTTACTGAGGAGTGTTTTTTTGTTTGGGTTGGTTTTTTTCTTAAAGGACGTTGAAGGAGCCACTAAATGCGAAAATTTTCAGACCAGTGCTGATAAAGAATCACTGGGTTATAAAAGCTCTCCCCCACCCCCTACCTGTGGCTCACTGATGAGAGTATTGGATTTGATGACAAAGTATAAAACTTAGCTATTTAGTTGAACTGAAAGTCTTATTTTACAGTCTGGGATTTAAAAAAACCCTAACAAACAAACCAAAAACCCACAAAAAAACCCCCACCTACTAGCCTATGAGAAGTAACTAAAAGAAAAATTCCCTTCTTTTTTGTCTACATTCAGATGTTATTTTAAGTACTTCCCATATCTTTTTTCAGTCTTGGCTTTCTTCCTAATGTAACATCTGTTGTTTGTGGTAGGTATGTCAAAAATGGTGCAAAACTGGTTGAGTTGCTTTCCGTAATCCAGATAACTTGCCAATGATCAATATCAGTTGTTTTAAGGTATACTTTAATGGTGAATATTTGTTTTGTTTTGTCATTCCCTCTCATCTACATAGCTTCTCTTTAGAAGCTGGGGATAAAATGTAATGAAAAGGTTAATCATTAGATTTCAGCCAACCTTTGAGAGTCCTGCTCTCCTGAAGAGGAAAATGTAGTGCTGAGGTGCTGTTTAAGAAACACTTCCTAGACCTCTGTCCAAGTCTTGTGCAGTTTAAAAGCAAGCCTCTCTTTCTTGATCTAGGTATTAGTGTGTTAGCTGGGGGTTCAGTATCAAGATTCAAGTCTCTGTTCTCGTGCAGAGACTTTCTAATTAGACACTGATGGGGAGGCTGTGGGCCAAATTGCAAGGCCTGTGTGGTCCTGTTGCCTCATTGCACTGTGTTCCCTGGTCTGAGCGAAGTGTGGTGCAGTGATAGAAGGTTTGCTCAACAGTGATCAACTTCAATGGAAACCGTAGTCTGTGATGGGGAAAGGGATATGCTCCCCAGTCTTGTTCTTCCATGCACGTTCAGGTTATGTGCAGAGAGACACCATGAACTAGAAGTTACGAAGCTGAGTCCCTAGTCTGTGCACCTGTTTTTGCCAATTCCTCATTGGTAAAGAAGGAATTAAAACAAAAACAAACAAACCAAAAAAACCCCACCCCAACAAATTCCCTGTCTTGTGAGGACATTGAAAGGCTATGATGCTGAAGTGTATGATTACTCTGATAACCAAGGTCATATTATTTTTCAGTCACTGGTTTATTGCTCCATTTTTAGGGGAGAAAGGGCAGGAAATAGCAGCAAATTTTTGAACGGTGAACAGCAAAATCAACCTTTTTGCCTGACTTTACAGCATGCTGCTGCTTTTAAGTTCAGCTATATGGTTAAAGACAGTTCCCCATTAAATATGCGTATAACTGTTACTACTATTAAATTCAGTCTTAAAACAAATTTAAAATTAGAGGGGCTGTGAATATATCCTATTGATAATCACTTATCCAAAGTATGGTGAAAAGCAATACCATAATCACTCTTAACTGAATGAAATTTGGATGCTGAAGCCATACAAGAATACTATTCTCCGTCAGTGAATTAGTCCCTCAATCTCATAGGTCGTTACATAACACAGAAGATATGGAAAGCATTTGCAAATGACTTTGGGGCTGTAAACACAAAGAAAAATCAGGTTTCATTTGGGAGCATCCAAATTCATTGTACACCTCTTATCTCCTTCCCCTCTCCCCATCACTGGTATGTATGTTGCCTACTAATCCGTTCTAAATGATGCCTTAAATATTAATAACAGTAACATTCTGCACATAGGCAATAAAAAGATGAAAAGTTGAGAGAGAGAAAGGAAATCTTAACTAAGGTTCTCTTCTTTTTCTCTGCCATCCTATTCTTGCCAGTATACCCTACGGTGTGATATGCGACGTTCTCTGCTGGCAAAAGACCTAACTAAGACTTGTGAATTCATTGTCCACTCACTGGTAAGTGTGGTTTGTATTAAGTATACAAATTGAGACTTTTTTTTTTTTTTTTTTTCCCCACTTTAACTGAAGTTTGGCAGTCAGGCTAGAAAACCAAGTAAAACTATGTAATTTGTAATAGCAACACACAGGATATGTATGAGTAAAGGAAGCTAGCCTCAAAACAAAAATATTCAGAAGACCTAGGGTGTCAGTTGCTTCTGATTAGAATAACATATCTCTTTGTACTATTTTCTTTAAATGAAAGGAGGATTTTGATTATAAGATGTTTTTATACTGCACTGAGTTTACTCTCTTATTCATCCTTTCAGTTCCAAAACAATCGTGTGGTTAGATAAATATGGCATTCTTCTAAACACTTGTTTCAGATTATCTGAGCATTTCTTAGCCAAAGGTTCTGGGCACCCACAATGCCTGTCCTAGAAATGGGAGTTCATGGTGAAAAGAAAACACCTGATTTCTGTTCTTCAGATGACTAATTATGATTTAGAGCCCTGACTCTAAGTATCAAAACTGGGCCTCCATCAAGTTGGAAATAAGAAGCTTGTCAGCTCATCACCTTTGCTGTTAAGTAAGTCCATGGTTGGCAATATGCTAAGATAACTAGGTTAACAAATATCCATATCCTGCGGTTAGCAACATGGAGACAGCCTTTCTCCTGCGGAGACATCATTGTGGGATGAGATTTGACTGTCTTACAAGAAATGCTTTGCTGCTTGTTATTTGAAGTTCTTAGATTGTTTTTTAGTTTATATTGACTTGTACTGATGTCCAGAGCATCTGATGTCAGTACAGACTGTGCTGGCCTAATTAAGTATCTCTTTTTCCACCCATAACTTGCTAGAACATACTGTTTGTATCATTCCTTTGAACTCTAACAGGACAGTAAAATATTAGACTCTTTTGTCTTACTTATGAATAATGGTGGAAATATGTTATTTTAGTTCTATAGTACCTTTTCTAAAGATTTAGCTAGGTGGTATAAAGAACTCCTGTTGGTAAAAATTTCATTATTTTCTAAAATATATTATGCTATGTTTTATTGGTCCATTATTACATTATAAGTAAGCCACACTTGTCAAAATAGTGAACAAATTACATATTACGCAGTTTCCTGGTTTTATTTCTTGTTCCCACTACAGCACTCCGTAGATCACAAGTCAGTAAATCATGAATCTCTCAGTCAGGGTGAATTAATGAGGGTTTACTGAACATATAATTCTCACTGTCAGTGCTCAACGTACCATTTCCCTTAACCTTATTCTTTGCCAGAATTTGTCACTTATGGGAAAATGCAGTCAATCTTTTGCTCACATCTTCCATCTTGCCGTTGGGCAGCAGAAGTTATTTTGAATTCTTAGGTAGTGAGGGTAGATCCTAACTAAGAGTTCAAGTTAAGCCCATTGGTGGTGGTGTGCTCTGCCAACTCCGAGTTACATAGAATTGGGTCTCTCATAATTGATGCTGTGCTGGCCACTTACTCTAAATATGTAGGGAAAAGGCAGTGCACCTCACTGAGATAAGGATGGAGAGAGGTTGGTGAATGGTAAGTGAAGCTTGCCTTCCTGATGCAGAGTACAGGTTGCCATCTTAGCAGGTGTCAGGGCCCATTCAGCCACTTACTTGTGGTGCTTGCTTGTTTTTGTTTGCTGCCTTTTTTTTTTTCTTTTTCTTTTTTCTTTTTTTTTTTTTTTTCAGTGTAGGTAGAGCTTATGCCAAAAACTGACAAATGGAGATCTTGTGGTTTACTGCAGTGGCAAACACAAAGTAACCAAACATTGACACAGTTCTGTTTCTACAATTCAGATTTGTGATGTATTGTGACTTGTATTTAGACAGTATCGTAATGTTATTTAATGACAAAGGCAGGAAATCTCAGGGTTTTTATTACATAGATGCATACTTTCAGTATGAAGACAGTCCTGAAAACTAACATGTGCAACAGTTGCTTGACTTTGTTGTCTTTTTTAATATTCTCTGTGTGTGTTTTGTAAATCATAGTTTACAGTTTAACTCTTTCATTACTTGTAGTCACAGAAAGGGAAGCTGATGCCAAGCCCAGTAGACTTCACAATTACTCCTGAAACTTTGCAAAATGTTAAAGAGGTAAGGGTTTTCTTCTTACTTTATTTTAAATGTAATGTTTGTGTGATTGAATGAAAACAAGAGGAATGATAAAATGCTGCCCTGCAGATAATCAACCCTTTTTTTCCCCCTTTTCTCCTTTTTTGCTTTTGTAAGCAATAAAGTGATTCTGCCTGATCTCTTGTGATAGTGGTGACTAATGTAAGGTGGAACTTTGTTCAGTAATGGTTGAACTTTTTTATTATTTTTCTGAGTAAAAGATGGCAGTGAGGTAAGGGAAAACATTCTGTACCATGTGTAGCCAAGATCCTTTAAAAATGTGTATTTTGATCCTTGGTTATGCCTTTTTTTACATCCCATGTGGCTTTGGGAAGCCTGTATGAACAGTAGTAGCTGTCTTGGCCATTTAGCTTTCTGAACACTGGTTTCTGTTTGTCCACCGAAACCTGTGTTCTGTTTTTCCAGGTTTTCCTGTTGTGTTCTTTTTGTTAATAAGACTACTTTCCTGCTTTATGTCTCCCTTCTGCATCCCCAACTTGTCTTCTATTGTTCTTGGTCCCAGACTTCTGAATTTAGACCTGCTCTTCCACTTGTTTCTCAAAGCAGACCTCCTTAATCAGCTGTTTGGTTGGTTCATGCTATTGTTGACCTTATTCCACATATTCTGTGAATCATTGTGGTTGGAAGGGACTTCTGGAGATTGGTAAGTTCAGTCCCTGTGCTCAGAGCAGAGTCATCTAGAGCAGGTTGCTCAGGGCTACGTGTAGTCAAGTTTTCAACGTTTCGAAGGATGGAGACTTGCTACCACTTGGCAATGTTACAGTGTTTGACCACTCTCACAGGCTTAATAAATAAATAAATTAAAAGTAATTTCCTTTATTTTGATTTGTTCCCATAGCCCCTTGTCCTTTCACTAGATACTAGTATCTGAGGAGTCTGACTCCATCTTCTTTACTCCTTCCCATCAGGTATTTATACATATTGATAAGATCCCCCTGAGCCTTCTGTTCTGCAGGGTGAACAATCCCAGGTGTCAGCCTCTTCTTGTAAGTCATGTGCTCTTAACCATCTTCAGCAAAGGCTGGACTTGCTCCAAGTCTGTGTTTCTTGTACTGGGAAGTCCTGAATTGGACACACTATCCCCAGTTTTGTCTCACCAGTGTTGAAGAGATGGGAAGGATCGCCTCCCTCAACCTGTTGGCAACATTTTCTAATGCAGCTCAGGATGCTGTAGGTCCATTTGTCCAGCCTATTGAGGTCCCTGTGAAAGGGCAGCACAACTATCTGGTTCACCAACCACTCCTTCCAATTTTGTATTATCTGCAGACTTGCTGGGGATGCACTCTGTCCCACCATCCAAGCCATCGTTGAAGATGTGAAATAATACTGGTTCCAGTATTGACCCCAGTCACCGGTGTACACCACTAGTGACTGGCCTTCAGCTGGACTTTGTGCTACTGATCACAGACCTTTGAGTCCAGCAGTTCAGGCTGTTCTCAGTCCACCTCAGCATCTAATCTGTACATCTAGTCTGTGCTCCATCAGTTTGTCAGTAAGGTTGTTAGGGAAAACAGTATCAAAAACAGTGCTGAAGCCAACATAAACAGTATCCACTGCTCTCCGCTTGTCCACCAAGCTAGTCATTTCATCATAGGCAGCTATCAGGTTGGTTAAGCATGATTTTGTTTTCATAAATCCATGCTGACTTCTTCCAATTACTTTCTTGTCCTTTATGTGTTTGGAAATGGCTTCCAGGGTTATTTGCTCCACTGCTTTCCCAGGGACTGAAGCAAGACTGATGAGCCTGTAGTTACTCAGATCTTCCTAACTGAAGATAAGAGTGATGTTTACTATCTTCCATTCCTCAGGAACCTTCTTTGTTCATGACAGCCTTTCAAAGATAATCAAGATTGGCCTCACGGTGACATGGGTCAGCTTCCTCAGCACTTGTGGATGTGTCCCATTAGGTCCCGCGGACTTGAGTATACATCCAGTACTTGACTGTACATCCAGTCTGTTTAAATGTTCTCTAACCTGCTCCTCCTCTAGCAAAGATAACTCTTCCTTGCTCCAGACTTTCCCTGTGGTTGGAGGGGCCTGGGATTCCTCAAGGCAAATCTTATCAGTAAAGTCTGAGGCAGAGAAGACATTAAGTACCTCTGTCTTTTTCATGTCTTTTGTCACTAGGTCCCCTGCGATATTCAGTAGCAGGCTGACATTCACCCTCGTTTTCCTTTTGCAGCTGGTAGACTCATAGATTGCCCCTATTTGTTGCCTTTCATGTCTCTTGATTTAACTCCAGGTGGGCTTTGGCTTTCCCAAAACCATCCCTGCACACTCGGATAGTGTTATGTTCCTCCTGGGTCACCTGACCCTACTTTCATCTTTTGTATACTTCCTTTTTATGATTTTATCAGTAGCATCTTGTTCATCCATGCAGGTCTCTTCCTACCTTTGCTTGACTTCTTGCATGTTGGAACAGACCATTCCTGAGCGTGGAGGTGATCCTAGAAAACTAACCAGCTCTCATGGCTGAATTCTAAATCCAGCTGAGTTAGAGGATGAGCAGGTTGTGTCCAGCAGCCTCTCGTGTCTCTGGAGACTGCTGCACACTGAAAGCATATGTTTTTCCAAATATACGTATCCTGGTTTCAGCTGGGATAGAGTTAATTTTCTTCCTAGTAACTGGTACAGTGTGTTTTGGATTTAGTGTGAGAATAATGTTGGTAACACGTTGATGTTTTAATTGTTGCTAAGTAGCGCTTATCCGAAGTTAAGGATTTTTCAGTTTCCCATGGTCTGCCAGCAAGCAGGTGCACAAGAAGCTGGGAGGGAGCATGGGCAGGACAGCTGACCTGAACTATCCAAAGGGGATATTCCATACCATAGGACGTCATGCCCAGTATATGAACTGGGGAGAGTTGGCTGGGAGAGGCTGATCACTGCTTGGGCATTGGTCAGCGGGTGGTGAGCAATTGCATTGTGCATCACTTGTCTTTTCTGGGGTCTAATTTGTCTCTTCTTGTTATATTCCCTTTCATTACAGTTATTATTGTTATTATTTTATTTTATTTTAGTTATTAAATTGTTCTTATCTCAACCCATGAGTCTTACTTTTCCCCCCCTGATTCTCTCCCCCATCCCACTGGGAGCGGGGAGGAGTAAGCGAGTGGCTGCTTGGTGCTTAGTTGCTGGCTGGGGTTAAACCATGACAATGAGGATATAGTAACTATTCTTGGTGGTAAAATTACTTTTGAGACTACTGCTAAATACTAAGCTCTCAGCAGTCTGCTCTTCTTATGAACCACGTTTCCGTATAAATTATTTTCTGTTTCTTCTTTCTCTTCTGTATCTTGATACTCTACTCATTGGCTCAGCAAAGACTCAGTGGTGTACATCTTGAGAAAGTCCTGTCCATTAAAAGCTATTTCTTAAGTTTAGTAGCAGACCTTGTGTCTTTCTCTATTTCAAGTACATATCCACAAAAGTAGGATCTAAAATTTCTGACATCTCTGATCGAGCAGATCTTGGTATTTAATTGTGGAGCTCTCTAAAGAATGGTATTGAACGTATATGGTAGCACAAGCAGTGGCTTTTTTATTTTTATTCTTTTAATTTTTTTTTTTATTCCTCTCCCTGTCTCAGAAGAATGTATGGGTCTGAAGTGACTACCTGGTGGACAGGTAGAAAAAGTCACTGCTCTGGTATATTTAAAATATTAAAATTTTAATTCTCTGCTTGTGTGGAGATTGTGACTGAACTATAATTTCTAGTAGACTCATAGAAAACCGATTAGGAGGTTTGCAGTAGCCAAGCAAAGCACAAAGAGGTTAGATGAAAAACCACAATAGATGTGCTTGTATGTTCTTGATTCTCATTTTGGGGGGAGGATTATGAAATAGAGTGTAAATTATAGGTCCTAGGAGAGAAGACCTAGCTAGGATTAAAATATGAAGAGTACTGACAAGAGTAGTAAGGTTCTAGGGGAAATAGACCTTTAAAAAAAGAAGTCTTGTAGACTAGGATTGAGGAAAATGGCCTCAAGTTCTTGTTCCACAAGTTCCTTTTATCTCTGTCTCTTAGGTTCCTGACCACTGTACTTTGGGGATAGCTATATGATGTCTCTGCGAAGCATGGAAGTTCGTGTTTACTAATAGTGGTGATGAGAAGAACCTGGAAGGGATCATACAATAAAAAAACATTTTACTAATGCATTATTAGGAGTCAGTATTTCATAGGGTGGTTTTGTTAGGGATGTAACTTCTGTTATTTAAGCTAGAAAATGCCTAAGTGAGGTCACGTTTACTAAACATATGAAAATTCCTCTCTCTTTATTTCCCCCAAAGATTTGTTTGGAGTGGAACAGCTAAATTCTGCAGAGGTGTTGGGTATCTGAGTGAAACAGTTTAAATAATAGCTGAGGAGAACTTTTCTGCCATTGCTACTGGCAGCCAGGACTAAGAAGCAAAACAAACAGATTGGGAGCAAAAGTTTGTGACGAGAGTTGGTTTGGAAGAAGGGAAAAATCAGTTACATGGGCAAGGAAATCCAAAGCCACAAGCAAGTATGAACAGATGGTTGGAAGGTAGGGGCTAACATCAAAGATGTCAATAACAAAAAATTAAGGAGGGAGGGAAGAATAAGGCTTGCAAAAGAAGGGGAAGGTTAGAGCAGGTTGCTTAAAGAGTTTGAAGAAAGTTGGATGGTGAAGATATGAGCTGAAGATGTGGGTAGAAAACTTGACTGTTTCAGTATGCCTCCTGCCAGAACTTGAAATGTAACTGGAGCTTCTGGCATATGAGTTCTTCTGCTGGCAGAGAGTATCTGTGATGCCTGCTGGCCTGAAAAAGGAGAGGGCAGGGGGAGCAAAACCCCCGCTTTGGTCTTTTATGGAAACTGATTTACAGACTGTCATCCTTAATCAGCTATTCTTACTGCTCCTTCCTTAAAAAGTAGGAAACATGCCTGCTGTTAAGAAAATTTTAAAAGTGTGATCCTGTATTCAAATTAAGCTCTTTATTAATTGTTCTTAATCAGTGTCTTGGTACATAAGCAGTATGCTACATCTTGCATTAAATGAAGATTTTTAAATGCCTGTCTTCCCTCCCAATAGTGGCCATGAGAGAGAAACTTAAGAAGGTGGGAAACTCACTGAAATGATAGACTATATTGTAATCCATAACAAAATGGGACCAGAATGCAGTTCTGTAGAGCACTACCAGCTGATTTAACTTGACCATCCTGTTAGTTCCTGCCAGCCTGCCTCCTTCACCATGTGGTTCCCAGCTTCTGGGTTAACTGTATTAGCCAAGTTTTGCCAGTTCATCCCAGGAAAAGTGCTCCCATGGATGGAATGAGTAGGTGGGATGTATGTCAGGGGGGAGGGTAGCAAGAGATATCTTAATGCATCTGCATAAGGATGCATATTTAAAAGAGTTACATTATTTATTTGAGGCACTTCTGAACTTCTGAGTTCTTAACCTGGCAACTTTTGGGGATTTCCTGTATACTTTGATAACTGTCTTTCTGTAAGGTATTTTTTTCTTAGTCTGCTCTTATAGCTGTGTCTTTTTTTTTTTTTTCTTTTTTTTTTCCTCCCCAACCTTTTCAGAGAGCTTCACTTCCAAAATTTCTCATCAGAGGTCATCTCAGTTCTACAAACTGTATCATTACACAGCCACTAACAGGGGAGCTGGTAGTGGAGAATGCGGAGGCTGCAGTCAAAAGTATTGAGCTGCAGTTAGTACGTGTGGAAACCTGTGGTAAGTTCTCTGTAAACGGAATGCGTGTAGACTGCAGTAATTAGTACTTGCACACTTTCAGCTTAAATGTGAAAGATTGTCAAAAGCCATGCAGTTAAAAAGACTTGCAAAAAATTGGTCTGCACTTCAGGTGGAACAGTCCAAACATTAATTTAAATAATGTCTATGATCTTTAACTCAGAGTGCTAAGGTGAAAACTTGCAGGTCAAAGGGTAAAATGTTTTGCCCACACATACACCCC